TCCCAGTAAGAACACAGGGGAAGAGATGCCCAGTGTAAGCCTCGCTGCTACAAGGCAAATTGACACGTCGAGCCCCAGACGGCAGCAGTGTTTACTAAGAAGGTGTCCTAAGGTGGGGCAAAGGATGAGACACACGATGTTTGGATGGGAATGAGGGGACTTTTTTTTTCTTTAAGGTTATACCTTAAGTGGAACTGCTGTTTCCAAATGTTGCCCAACAGGCAACTTTTCAAGGAATAGAGAAAAATGATTCCACTACAGAGTGCTTGTACACTCACATAAACAAGTATTTCTAAAAGACTTGTAGTTTCTGAAGAAGAGGGCAGTTGGTAAATTTTAAACACCCATTTTACGATTCTGTTTATATTAGTAATGTGTGTAGCACGTGCTCTCTTCATAAATATTGCAAAGTCAATCTGTAGCCAACTCCTGGTGCTTGTGACAGATCAGTGATGCTGAACTGACAAGGAACGAACAGAGAATAAAGCCTCTGGTCCTGAGCCGGGCTTTCAAGTCCCGAAGCACAAGTCCTGGGGGCCTCCCTGGCCTGCTCGCCCCCACCTGCCCTGCAGATGCCCGTGCAAGGCCCGTGGCCTTTCTCTGTTCACGGCTTGCACATGCAAATGATTCCTCCCAGGAAAGCCTCTCTCCAGCCACCTCCTGCAGGGATTGCTGGTGCCGATGCTCAGTAGGGGCTGCTGGGAAGGAAGTTCTCAGACACACACTCGGACCAGAGCGATCACTCAGATGCCTCCGAGTGGCTGGAGGAACCAGCAAGTGCCAACAGGCGAGTCCCTCCACCTCGGAGACTCTAGCTCCGTGCATCAGAGCGAGAGCTTAGCTCACCCGTCTCTTATTCTGCAAAGTTGATGCTGACAACCCCGGGGGAATCCTGTTCTTTTCCCACGTATTCCCGCGATGTTTATCTGCACCACCACACTGGCCCGTACCCAGACACCGTGGCCACGTGGACAGCTGTGGCTGCTTGCAGAGGACAGGCCACTCTGCTCGGGCCCTTGCATGGCACCAGCAGGGCTGGCACACGGGAGCCATACCATCCTTCTTGGACCTCACCTGGGTACTCAAGTGGAAGCTGTAAGGCGCTCCCCTAAGGCACCTGCCCCGTGGGACTGTGCTGGTCCCCCTGGAGGGGACTCAGCTCCCTTTATGTCCTGCAGGGCCTGCTTACCGGAAATGGCTCTCCAAGGTCTCATTCTTGACACCTCTGGGGAGTCCTGTAATGAACAGGGTCCGTCTCTCCTGTCGGAGGCACACACCAGGGAGAAAAGTCACCAGGGCAAACCGGTTTGCGGGTGAGCCCAGGTTTTCTACCCCACTCAGGCCTCCCGAGGGGAAACCCTGGGAAATCAGAAAGGTCACATTTTCTCCTTCCGTGGCCTGGGAGAGCCTGAAGCTTGTTGTCTACACAGCATCCTCTTCGAGCCCAGGTTTTCTACCCCACTCAGGCCTCCCGAGGGGAAACCATGGGAAATCAGAAAGGCCACATTTTCTCCTTCCGTGGCCTGGGAGAGCCTGAAGCTTGTTGTCTACACAGCATCCTCTTCCAGGCTGTACAGAGAATCCATTTCCTAAGCAACTCTATGGGTCTCCTTTGCAGGGCAGCAGACTGAGAAGGAACCCAGAGCGGGGAAGGGACCCCAGTGGGACCATGCGGCACACCAGAGGGGGACCCGGGCCTAGAACCAAGTCACAGGAGCTCCCCTCCCCCGTCAAGCTGTGGGCCACCAAGAGAGAAAGAGCCACTCTCAACCAAAACCCCCTACACATGACTTAGCATCGGTAACTACGAGCCAAACCCCACAAATGAAAGGGCAAGTTGGCAGAATAGGGAAAAAAAATGTCCAAATCTTAAAACAATCCACCCGGAAATTTTTCAGAAATAATAATGCCAAGTGTGAGCACGAACACGTGAGCCAGACTCTAGAGGCCACTCAAGCTCACTGCTGTCGTGGTCCTGCAGCAAAAGCCCGGGAGGCCCTCCCAGCAGGGTCCCGTCCCCGGCCCCACTCACCAGACTCTCCTCTCTGTACTTGATGGACTGGGTGTGGTGCCGCATGAAGCCCACGGTGAGGAGGAGATAGATCACAGCAAAGATGGTGTGCAGCCAGAGGAGGCCATTGCTGAGGGGACACCACCTGCCATCAGGGCTGGGCTCCCAGGCAGGGGCGCAGGGCTGTGGCCAATGCCCTCGGCCCACCATGCATGCTTTGGAGAGGTCCCTGTCCCTGTCCTGACATAGGAACTCAGGTCCACATAAACCCCCTGTACGACAGCAGCTGCCTGTGGTGCATTCAGCCCATGGCTCAGCAGGACACTGGCCGCGGGGGCTTTCGGACATTAGCCCGCCTGCTTCAGACATGTCTGGCCTCCCCAGCTCCGGAATCTGCTTTCTCCTCGGTGTCGCCCATCGGCACCCACCCACCACCCACCCCACACTCACTCGGTCTGCAGGTTTGCTATCGTCGTCCTCCCAAAACTGTAAGGGTCTTTGTCTGCAGAGAAGAACAGAGACTTAGTGCCAGGGCTATGGTGGGGACGCAGGAGGGGGCATAACCAGGGTCACAGTGGGGACACAGGAGGGGACATGATCATGCTTGGTTTATGGAGCTCTGGGAGGAAGAGCAGCCAGATGCCCAGGCCAGTGGCAAGACAACGACACTGTCCAGTTTTTTCAGAGCTACACCAACCAAGGCCTCGGCTTGATTCAACATGCTCCCGACAACCTCTCAACCTACATGCAAGCAAAGTTGAAATCTGAATTCATCTTGCTTTGAGATTTTTTTTTTTTTTTTTTTGAGATGCTTTGAGAAAACTAGGAATATCCCAAGCTATTACCAAACCAAGGCTGGGAATCACGGGGCTTCCTAAGGGGGTCTGTGATGGCATTTTGGAAGCTGGGAAGACGTAACTCTGATTGTGACTAAGTATCACAGACATCTTTCAGGTCTACCTAAAGTGGTCTCCTGATTTGGGTGAAGGCAAGAAAATATAAAACACTCTCTGAAAGCTCTGATTCTATAAATCTTGGGGATTTCCCCCCCNGTCTCTCCTGTCGGAGGCACACACCAGGGAGAAAAGTCACCAGGGCAAACCGGTTTGCGGGTGAGCCCAGGTTTTCTACCCCACTCAGGCCTCCCGAGGGGAAACCCTGGGAAATCAGAAAGGTCACATTTTCTCCTTCCGTGGCCTGGGAGAGCCTGAAGCTTGTTGTCTACACAGCATCCTCTTCCAGGCTGTACAGAGAATCCATTTCCTAAGCAACTCTATGGGTCTCCTTTGCAGGGCAGCAGACTGAGAAGGAACCCAGAGCGGGAAAGGGACCCCAGTGGGACCATGCGGCACACCAGAGGGGGACCCGGGCCTAGAACCAAGTCACAGGAGCTCCCCTCCCCCGTCAAGCTGTGGGCCACCAAGAGAGAAAGAGCCACTCTCAACCAAAACCCCCTACACATGACTTAGCATCGGTAACTACGAGCCAAACCCCACAAATGAAAGGGCAAGTTGGCAGAATAGGGAAAAAAAATGTCCAAATCTTAAAACAATCCACCCGGAAATTTTTCAGAAATAATAATGCCAAGTGTGAGCACGAACACGTGAGCCAGACTCTAGAGGCCACTCAAGCTCACTGCTGTCGTGGTCCTGCAGCAAAAGCCCGGGAGGCCCTCCCAGCAGGGTCCCGTCCCCGGCCCCACTCACCAGACTCTCCTCTCTGTACTTGATGGACTGGGTGTGGTGCCGCATGAAGCCCACGGTGAGGAGGAGATAGATCACAGCAAAGATGGTGTGCAGCCAGAGGAGGCCATTGCTGAGGGGACACCACCTGCCATCAGGGCTGGGCTCCCAGGCAGGGGCGCAGGGCTGTGGCCAATGCCCTCGGCCCACCATGCATGCTTTGGAGAGGTCCCTGTCCCTGTCCTGACATAGGAACTCAGGTCCACATAAACCCCCTGTACGACAGCAGCTGCCTGTGGTGCATTCAGCCCATGGCTCAGCAGGACACTGGCCGCGGGGGCTTTCGGACATTAGCCCGCCTGCTTCAGACATGTCTGGCCTCCCCAGCTCCGGAATCTGCTTTCTCCTCGGTGTCGCCCATCGGCACCCACCCACCACCCACCCCACACTCACTCGGTCTGCAGGTTTGCTATCGTCGTCCTCCCAAAACTGTAAGGGTCTTTGTCTGCAGAGAAGAACAGAGACTTAGTGCCAGGGCTATGGTGGGGACGCAGGAGGGGGCATAACCAGGGTCACAGTGGGGACACAGGAGGGGACATGATCATGCTTGGTTTATGGAGCTCTGGGAGGAAGAGCAGCCAGATGCCCAGGCCAGTGGCAAGACAACGACACTGTCCAGTTTTTTCAGAGCTACACCAACCAAGGCCTCGGCTTGATTCAACATGCTCCCGACAACCTCTCAACCTACATGCAAGCAAAGTTGAAATCTGAATTCATCTTGCTTTGAGATTTTTTTTTTTTTTTTTTTTGAGATGCTTTGAGAAAACTAGGAATATCCCAAGCTATTACCAAACCAAGGCTGGGAATCACGGGGCTTCCTAAGGGGGTCTGTGATGGCATTTTGGAAGCTGGGAAGACGTAACTCTGATTGTGACTAAGTATCACAGACATCTTTCAGGTCTACCTAAAGTGGTCTCCTGATTTGGGTGAAGGCAAGAAAATATAAAACACTCTCTGAAAGCTCTGATTCTATAAATCTTGGGGATTTCCCCCCCTCCTATTTAGACAGAACCAGAAATTGACATTAGGGGCCCCAACTCTTGGCCCAGGGTGGACTCTTCTCTGGATATTTAATCAGACGGAAAAGTTCAGAAAGTCCCCCTGAGACCTTCTTACTTCTGAATTGGAGCACGACTCCTGGAGTTCTGGTCAACCGTGAGGAGCCCCCTTCCCTAGACCTGTCACTCTGCGCCATCCCAACATACCCAAGGTTGAGAAAGGTCCTCACCCAGCAAGTCTCCCGAGAGGTTGACGGGCAGGATGATGCACAGAGACAAGAAGCTGACCACCACCAGCAGGAAGATGATGTGCCTCTGGAAGGACAGGTAGTGGATAGCGTCCTCCCCACACCACTCCAGGATCTGGTCATCGCTGGCCAAGACACACACGGAATCTTAATGAGCAGTGGCCGCAGGCTGGGCCCTCAGAGCCTGGCGTGGGTCATCTCATTTAATCCACGACAACCCCATCAGGTGATCTGTTATTACCCCCCCACCTTTTTCTTTCACATACAAGGAAATAAAGGCACAAACTACGTAACTCTCAGGACCACACAGCTCGTGACAGCACCGCTATGATGTCAGTTCCAGAGCCCGCCTCCATAGAGCCCCCACACCGTGCTCTGGGCAAAGGAGCTGCCACCACTACTTTATGTCACAAGGTACATCTGTGCCACTTTACACACACGGGTGAGCCACGTCAACACAATGGTCCCCCAGCCCTTGCCTGCTTCTGTGACGAGAAGCCTGCCAGGAGATGCATTCTGCATGAAGGTGGGCATGGTCCAGGCCCCCCGTTTCTTAGGTCCCCCCACCCCACCCCCAGCCACACTGGGAGGAGGTGCAGCCAGTGTTTTAAATGCTCAAAGTTGGGCCGGCCCGGTGGCGCACTGGATAGTGCGCCGCTTGGGAAGCGCGGC